CAAGGGAGGATTTACAGTCATAGACCTTATCTGGCTTGGAAGCAAGCAGTCTTGGAGAATCAGGAACCAATTAAGCAAACTAACTGTCTCCTGCAAACTCTACTCCCCTTTCGCTCCTCTTTTATTTCCTCTGGCAGAGGCCATTCATCATCTGGCCTTACTCCCAAGTCGACCCCCTGTTCTTTAGCTGTTCCCATCGTCTGGCAACTCTGCGCATGTGCACTCTGGGAACAGGCTTCAGCTGTTCGTCTTTCTCACTGATGTATGACTCTGAAGGCAGCTGATAACTGGCCTTACTGTCTGAATCTGCTGCCAGCTCCGCTGTTCGCTGGCAGGCTACAACAATTATAAAAGCAAAAGGCTTGTTGCAAACCATGGCTTGGCTTTATTTCTTGAGTAGAGCAGTGAGGCTCTGCAGACATTGGCAAATCAGGGAAGGAGGAAGAAGAAATTATGGAAGAAGGTAGCAATTAATGAGCAGCTTATTTTGAGCATATAAGCCATGTTTACATTGGAACCCAGCTGTGCCTTTGGGAAAATAAACCATGATAGTTTTAGTCTCTCGGGAATAGGGCGGCATACAAATTAAATAAACCTTAATAAATAAATAAACCTTAAATAAATCTCAGGCTTCAAAATCCTGAGAACATTTGGGAACATGAACAAAATGGGGAAAATGTGTTTGTTTTTCCATATCGGGTAAGGGAGAAGTCATTGTCAGGTAAATTCAGTGGGTTGCAGCAAGATTTAGACGTCCTTGATTTCAGTAGAGACAAAGCATCATGTGCTTTTATTAAGCATTGCAAAGCAAGAGGTTTTAACTCAAGTACAGCTTTACTTTGCTGAGCAATCTGAGAGAGATGTTTTTCCTTTTCTAAGGGAAATGCTCTTTTGCATTGTGTGTGCCCAGCAATTCAACACCTCAGAGATACTTTATAGCAGGACCAGATATTTGACTTTTACCTAGGTAACACAGGCTTTCTGACAAAGTCTCTCCCCTTTGGGATATCCACATGAATATTTTGTTGGTAAATAAATTCTCTTTCTTTTTTAGGTTTCTGCAAAGCAGATTGCTATGAAATGGAGATTTAAGTCCTGGCCAGAGGGTAAGTTATTTGGCTTCAAATATCAAAGCAAAAGATGTCTAAGTGGAGATGGTGGGATGCAGATAAAGTTATTCTGAATGCCGATAGGAAAAATAACCCTGCCAGCCTCAAGGGGCTTGGCTTAGATAAATGCCCTGTTCCATTTCTTAAGGAATTTTTCTGGAGATAGACTTCTACAAAAGTGTCACCAAATCAGTGTGTGGCTAGTTTTCATGTATTTCCCACTGATGCTACCTGACTGATTGTGGAATTTATTTGGCTCTCTTAGGACACTTTGCAACTATCATATTGACCTTCGTCGACAAGGGTGATGAAACAGAAGTCTTCCTAGAAGGGAAGGGCATCCCGGCCAGTGAAGAAGAGAGAACAAAAGAGGGCTGGCAACGTTATTATTTTGAGGGTATTAAACAGACGTTCGGCTATGGAGCCCGATTGTTTTAATGCTAGTGACTGCGGAGTCTCTGTCCAAAGATTCTGCCCTGTGAACTGATTCACTACTTGTCTGTTCTTTCTTATCCTCTGTATCACTATTGTGACAAGCAGGATGGCCCCGAAGGCCACTGAGCAGCACCAATTCCGACCCTTCCCTGCCTGTGCAGGTCTCCTATTTCATGGGTGTCAAAGGTGGATTCTCATAAATGTACATATACCTTGTATTGCTAAATAAACATAACTTAAAGAAGAGATACCAGCTCTCTTATCTGAGTAAAGAAATCAAAAGAGCTTTTAAGCAAAGGCCAGAAGAGTTCCGACTCTTCATGGATAGAGACGATCTTAATTCAAAAGATATCTGAAACTTTGGAGGATTTAACTAATGGGAACATAAGCGTTTAAGACACATCATTATGTAAGGAAAACTTTTTATTTTTACTTTTCAAAAATTGCTGGTCTACTACTAGCAGAGCAGTTAACAGCAAAAGTATTCTAAACTCTGTTGCTGAAATTTCATGCCTAGCAGTTGATCTGCTCTCATAGCCACATTATCTTTCAATCGGCCTATTCTCTGAGAGTGGACCTTTGTAATGGAAAACAGCACTCCCCCCCCCCCAAAAAAAAATTCCATGTAGCACTTTCAAAAATCAGTACTGTAGAATGAAAGTGTACAATGTACATAATAGCATTTTAAGTATGTTGGAATCCAGAACAAAGACTATATAAATCAGAAGAGAGAGCACATCTGCCTAAAACCAGCATTCAGTTTTAAAGTTTGGTACCTTAAATCATTAGCTTTGAGAATACAACTGTACTCTTAAGAAGAGATTTTCAGAAGCAAATTTCACTCTCTTTGTTCTGAATTTTTCATTAATTTTTAAATTAATTTTTCAACATTACAATGAGACTAATAAACAGATCATAGCACATTAATTACACCTATAGATCTGAAGTTCCTTCAGGAAAATTGAGTTCTTGCTTGTAGGTCGGGCTAGTAGTAGTAGTAGTAGTACATACAGAATTTGTGTTTAAAAGTTGATTGCTTGCTTTATGGTTTTTTTTTGATGAGAGATTAGAAAGGAAAAAGGGAAACAGTAATGTTGCTATTTGGTCTTTTCTTGAACTGATCGATATATCCCAAGAAAATGCAAACTTGGCTTTTCTTTTAATCTAATTTGTTTACTTGGGAGGCATGTTTGATCCTAAATTTAAGAAGAAATTTATACATGATTTTTATAATCTAACATAGCCAAACACTGATAAGGAAAGTATGCATCATTTAAAAGTAAGCTGTTGCTTTTGAATTTCCATGCAACATGTCCTCTTACTCCAAAGTGCCTCATTATTTCTCTATTAATCTTTATGTTTTGATTTTGAAAATGATTGTTTGATTTTTATAAAGTGTTGGTCCTGATGGAAAACAGCAGTGGGCCTCAGTTTTAAATTTCCAGGCGACCACATGATGGCAGCAAGGCCTAAAATACTAGAGCTTGAGTTTCTAATAACAGGCGTTATTGCTGTCAACTTCTTCAAACAGCTGCAGTGGGTCTAGTTTTGCTTATGTTCTTACATTTTGGAAGAACAAATCTGGTCTAAAAATGGAGAGTGCAGCGTTTTAGAAGTTCCAAATCACTATCTGGAAAATTATTTTGTAGCCATTAGGTAGTCACCTCATCTGCAATTCTGCTGCCAGTTGACAACACTTCCCAGATGTAAATCCAATGCAATAATGTCACAGATGGCTTTGTGAGATATACATAATTATTGCAGTGGATTCATATGTTAAAGTCTTACTACTGAGACTGCAATGTCTAAACCTTAAGTATGTTTAACAGACAAAATAATTTTTCCAGAGTGTATTAAGATATATATTATACTGGTCTAATTATTGTTCCAAGCTTTGGAATGGAGGCTTTTACACCTCAAAGTAATCTATATGCTCCAAGATTGGTAGTTGCTGAGAATTTTTTTTGTTGGAAAAAAAGAATTTAACTTTATAACATACACCCAGAACAAGAATGAATTATCTGGAGTTGGGGATGATTTGTAAGGGATACTATGTAAAACCAAGGAGAAATGTGCCCTCTCTAATACTTGCTTAAAATGAGCAAGACTTGTTCATAAATGTGCATACATTGAAAGTATTAATACAGGATGACAAGAGGTTCTCTAATCAGCTTCACCCTTATCAACTACTAAAGTAAATGATGAAAGAATTTGTACAAGTTAAACAACTTGCAGTCAGGTTTGGGTAAGAAATAACCCACCAATTAAAATAGGCAAAATTTTCATTATACTTTTGGTTTTATTGTACAATAAATCACCATCAGTTTTCCTCTTCCCATCCAACAAAATCTCTTTCATTTTCTGTTAGATATTGAAAAAAAGGACAAAGAATATTGATGTTTGCTAGTCCATATACCGGCACTTCTATAATTTGACCCACCCCAATGTTGCTGGGATTGGTGAATTATTTTGACAGAAGAGAAGACATAATAGGTGGGTTTAGTCATCTCTAAACTCACTTAGAGCAGCTCCTTGCCTTAATTCTGAGTCCGCTGTGTGCTTCCCCAAACATAGTAGGAGTGCAGGCAATACTCCGTCTAAGCTTTGCTTCCTGCATTGTTTGATTAGGTTTAAAAATGTTTTGCCACGAGTGGGGAGGAGTTGTTGCTCAGAGTTTTGAGAAGCCTGTGTTATGTTTGCCCCTACAGAGATTTTGCTGAATTTGGAGACAAAAGTCGATCTTGGAAAAAGATAGAAATGCTAACAGCCTGTAAGCACTTGGTAAATAAAGTGTCCTAGAAACCCATCATGTCACTTGAGAATATTTTAAGCCACTTTATTTCTGTATAGCCAATGAGGCACCCTGTGGGATCATAAAACAAATGCTGTGGTCTGCTGTATTTGTAGATACAGAATGTAAAAACTACAAAGAAAGCCTCTCTCCAGGAAGTAAATGGGGAAGGGTGGCAGTGGTTCACCATCTGAGAAAGGTGGGGCAGCATTTATTGCCCTGGTAATTCTATTCTCCCTGTTATTTGGCAAATTTGGAGCTTCCGGAAGAAATATAGTGCTCGATATTAGGTTCTTGAAAAGGCCAGAAAGCTGTTAGGTTTTCTTTTACTCAAATTTCTGAGGTAAAGGCAGAGGTTGGGATGGGGTGATCTGCCTTAGAAAACAGATTCCAAACTCAGGAAATAAAATCTGTTCTGAATACAGCAGTGCTGTCTTTCATTCTGATTTTCTAAAGATGAATGAGTAGGAGGAAAGAAAACACAACCTGAAGGTCTCTTCCATCCACAAAGATGTTTGGAGGCAGCTGCCATTGAGCCATTTGCCAGGAAAATCTGAGCAGGTGAATCAACACGTTTTCCTTAACCCACAAGGAAGTTAACAGCGGCTCTAATGTGCACCCTAAAGTAACCATAGTTTTTATACAAGTCTGTAATTACGGCTTGTTCCCCCATGCAATGTGTAAACCCTGCCATTGTCTTTTCTGTATTGACTAAAAAAAATTACTATCAATTAGCCTTTTTAACCTTGTTCATTCACAATTGCTCTGATCTCAAACTTCACTCGTGTACATGGTTGAGCTGTACCAAATTCCTGAGGTAGAAATACAGATGGCAATACTGCATTTCTTTACATAGATACCACAATGTGGTTTGGGTGTTCCATTGACTAATCATTTATTTTTGATTTATTTTTTTGTACCAATGACACAGCAAGGGCAAGACTGCTGCAGAACTGTAACAGGAGGAGAAGGGAGACAGCAATAAGATTTGGAGCTTTTAACCAAGAAACTTAACAGCCTGCAAAAAATCCCGTTACAACCTTTCTGCAAAGGCTTTCAGCTACATAATATGCAGTAAATCAACTGAAAACCCATGCTCTCTTGAGAAACGCTTGGTTTATAGACAAGGTTTGGCTTTCTTTTTGGGTCTGTCATCAAACTTTTCAATAGCACCTTGTTTGAATACACACCCTCTCCTAAGCAGCTGGATCTTGCTTTGTAGTCTTACAGAGAACTTTGAAATCTGATGCTGGCTACATTTAGACGCTGGCTCACACTCTTTACTTGGTCCCAATCGGGAGTGCTTTGCATTCTTAGTTGAAGGCGCCCTGTAGGGCTGACCGACCCTCATTGACAGACTAAGCTTGGCTCAGCTTCAAATGCTTGTCCCTGTGCACAGCTGCAGTCCAGCTGTGAGTTTAACCTGTTTAAAGACCAACTGGTGAGGAGTGTGGCTTTCACACAAGCCTACAGCAAAAGACCAGCTGTATTTCTGTAGCAAAATAAGACTTTCATAATACAAACTGTTTCCAGCTAGTAATAGCCATTGGCAGTGCTCCATACATTCACGGAGACATCTATATTTCTTTTATTGGCTTCTTGGGATAACATAACCATAAAATGTGCTAAGAAAAGGGACCATATGTGTCCATCTTTGATGGATATTATAAAGATAGAATTCAGAGGCTCGCTGTTGTCCCACACAACTATAGAACAGTAGACTGGGAATAGTAGTTGATAATAACAGCATCGTGATCTGTATAAATCAGGCGTGTCACTTGCGTCGTCATGTGATGTATCGGGACCTTTTCCCCCTTCACTAAACTGGGTGTAGTCAGCGCCTGATGCATCTGGCCTGAGGGCAGCAAGTTTGACAGACCTATATATGATAGAATTAGGGTGGACAACCTTAGACCCTATGTATCATTCTTGGGCACCCTGAAGCCCACCAACATCCCTTTATAAAAGGAATGAAAATTTCACCTGTGTCATAGTTCCAGCAGTCTTTAATCTCCCTCCCTCCCCAAAGTATTTAAGAAGTGCCATTTCTGATTGTCCATAGTTATGCTGGAGAATTTTCAGTTTCCAGTCTAAAACTGATTAACGTTCTTCATTTTCAAGTGCAGAATAATGAGGCAGAAGTATACCAAGTGTAACAATAGAGTTTATTTGTAACAGAAGAACCTGAATTCTTGCTTCCCTTTTGGCATTTCATACATATACTGTATCCTCTGAGATCAAAGTCCCATTCAGCCTCCTGAATATCTCCATTCCTTAAGATATTAAGTATTACAAACAATAAATATAATACAAGAGAAAATCTGGGAACAGACTGATCCATAATTTTCATTCTACTGAACTGGGGTAGAGAATTAGAATAAGACGCCATTATATGGTTTTTGGATTATGACTCCCATCAACTCACATGGAGGTTTTAATCCAGTAAACAGAGATTGT